ATGTAACACAATTGTTAAATAAATAATATTTAACAAAAGTTGTAATTATGTTTAGGTATCCTTTTTCGATTAAACCATGTTATTAATCAGGCATAACTAAAACACGTTAAGACTTAAATTATGTCTAATTAATAAGTTATCATAAATTAATAATAAACAAAAATAAGCAAAATATGAGCATGATTTAAGAAAAACATGGGCAAATTATAAGTTTTCACTAGTACTCTATCGGCAATAAATGTTATTTTCCATGTGAGTAATATTAGTTATTGCCTCGTAAGTGTAAGTAATATCTCCAAAATTTAGAAAGAAAACTATCTTTGATATCATAACAAAAAGTGAAGTTGAAATTTTAGCTAATTCATTTGAGAATTTTTACATCTTGTCATGTAAACATTTAAGCAAATCATAAGCAAAGAAGAAAAGGAAGCAAGACATAAAAATCTTTTGAGAGAAGGCTTGAGAAATAATACTACCTTGACTCTTTTTTGCATTTGAAGATCAACATCGATGTATCATTTAACCGACATTAGCAGGGAAGTGGATATAAAGAAAGAATAATCTTGACAAGCCTATCAAAATTAAGGCATAAAATAGCTCTAAGGTCTGACAAAAGGAATACTATGACATTAAACACCACTCCTAGTCACTAATGACCCTTGGAAATAATTCATGTTCAAACATTAATATTATACAAGCGGACATGAGATATTGAATCAAGGAACAACCAAGTTCTTAAGATAACAATCATTACCATCAAGTCTCTAATAATTGCGTTGAAGGTGCTATGGTAGGAAAGCTTTTCTGTATTTCTCCTGACCTACTTCAACCATTTGCAGCATGCCTTGGCATAGCGGTAGCCATGACGTCTTGTTTGCGACTTGTCACCAAATCGGGTCTTTGATAATATGCATAACGGACTACGGAAAGACGCATGTAAATTCTGTTTTAAGTTACATGATAAGCCAGCTAGTACTTGGATATACGTTATAAATATCACACATTTTTTTTAACGAATGCAATGCTATTTTTGGGGATTTCTTCGTTGGCTACGTTGATGTGTCTTGTGCTCTACGGCTACATATATCTGAGGCTTTCGATAGTTAAAAACTATCGTGCTCAATCAACATCAAACAAGAGGTAATCCCCTGAGCAATCACAAGTCCTGCTAGTAGATAAGGTTGCACTACATTGAGAAAGTGATCAAACTCTTCGTAACATATGCATTGTCATTGTCCATATTCCCGAGTTCTTCTATAAGAACACGGAAAAACATGAGCTAAGTTCTGGGTATGTTTAACTAGAAATATTTTTCAAGTGTATATAATGTGATTTTCCAATTTTATTTCCGTTGACATGAGAAACTACTTTAACTATTGGTAACCCTCTTGTCCTTGTTACTAGTTACAATAAAACGTAATATATCAAATAAAATGTCATTTTACTATATAACATGGTATACTTTACTAATATATAACATGCTACATATAACATGTAATATCATATCCATCATGTTATAAACAATTTTCAAAACATATTATTATGTTTACTGGTAGGTATCATAACATATGATAGTATATAATAACATGACATATCATGTTAATATATGACATGTTAAGTATATATAACGTGCTATCTTTCATATAATATGTTATACCATACAAAATATATTACTAGTATATAATATATTATATTACGTTTTATTATGAGGTTATATAGAAAATTTTGTTAATCACAAACATAATCAAATATGATCATCAACATGTTTGAATGTAATGTCATTTTCAAGTTATGGGAACTTATATTCCGTATGTGAATATAACTACATAAATAATATGAATAATATATGATGGTATGTCATATATATAAAGTTACGCTTCATTAAAACATTACATGTATAGTTTGTATAATATATTTCGACTTCCAAATTTTCAAATTGTAATATATGCACACACACAAAAAAAAATCTTTTTTTAGGGAAATTTAATACTCTGTTTAATTAGGTGATATAGACCACTCCATGTTTAATAAGCTTGTAGAGCTAAGAGAAACAAAATGTTGACAAAAATATCTTGGAGTTCAACGGACAACCTGCCATAAAGCAGATGTGGCCTGACGTTTTTTTTTAATGAATTTATAATTCTTAAATTTGTTTTTCCCATTTGATATTCACAACACTAATGTATATAATTAGAATTGAATCATCTCATAATTTATATGCAGAAAAAATCAAGATTTTTTTCTTCATATGTTACAATTTGAAATTTTAGAAATTGACATATATTACACAAACTATTAATATAATGTTATAATGAAACGTAATATACTATATAACCTATTATTTTACTATATAACATAGTATACCACACTAATATATAACATGTAATAGCTATCCATCATGTTATAAACAACATTCAAAATACATTACTAAGTTTATTGGTATGTAGCATACCATAACATATGATATGTATATACGCATGGCAATACCATGTTAATATATGACATGTTATATACTATATAACATGCTATATAAAATATAGCATGTTATAATTAAGATACAACAGTATAATGTGTATAGTATTAATATGACATACTATATTAATATATGACATGTTATATCATATAAATATATAGTATATATACTAAGTTTTATTCTTATATTATATAAATAGTTTGAGTATTCACAAAAAATAATAATGTGATCCTCAATATATATATATGGTATGTCATATATATGATGTGATATTTCACTATAACATTATATGAATAGT